CTCTCTCTCTCTCTCTCTCTCTCTCTCTCTCCTCCTCCTCTCTCTCTCTCTCTCTCTCTCTCTCTCTCTCTCTCTCTCTCTCTCCGCTCAGAAACCTTCCACGACCCTATCTACCTAGCTTCCTCTCTCAGCTATCGTGTAGGATTCCCATCCCAGCACGCAACAACTGTCCGCTCGCGCGCTCTCGCTTTATTTGTTTCACGCCACAGCAAGCAAGCCGCGTCTGCTTCGTGCCGCGTCTGCGTTTAGAATCAGTCTGCGTGCGAATCGTCTGCGTTTACGAAGAGCAAATTGTTTTCGCAGCGCGGTCACGTGGACTAGCGGACTAGCTGTCGTCTGCTCGACCGTGTGGTCGGCTTCCTAATCGAATGCCTGTCTCTAATAGCGATGTGAACGTGGCGATTGTGAACAATGATCAATAGCGGCGGGGAGTGGGTGGGAGGGGGTGGGAGGGGGTGGGAGGGGGTGGGGGGGTGGAGGAGGGGGTGGGAGGGGTGGAAGGGGGTGGGAGGGAGGTGGGGTGGGGTGGGAGGGGTGGGAGGGGTGGGAGGGATTGGGAGGGGGTGGGAGGGGTAAGGTGGAGGTGGGAGGGATTGGGTGGGGGTGGGAGGGGTGGGAGAGATTGGGAAGGGGTGAGGTGGGGGTGGGAGGAGTGAGGTGGGGGTGAGGTGGGGGTATTGTCGGTACGCGGCGCCATATTCTTTATGATTAGAATGAACGTGATCGTTCGTGCGTGCGTCTGGTCGCGGGCACGCGTGCGTGCGTCTTGTCGCGTGCACGCGTGCGTTGTCCGGGTCGCTTGTCGCTGCACGCGTGCAGTGCTCAACTCTGCCTCGGCGTGTACGCGTCCGTCGTTGCAGGGCGTTATGTATACGATCAGCAGTGATTCACAGCAGGAATGTCGCGTGAGCTTAGATTTGTCTGCGTAGCGTATCTACTGAGCGCGTGCGCGCGTGCGTGTGCGTGCGTGCTTACGCACACAAATCAAGATTTCACTCTTAACGTCTTGCTGCGTTTGTGTCTTTGTGACAACCTCGTTTTTGAAGGCGGACGCGTTTAGAGCTCCGTTTTTATCCAAGCTTACCTAGTCTAATCTGCGCCAATATTTTGAGCAGCAGAAAGCAACGATGGAATCCCGCGATGTATGCAGCCGGAAAAACCCCGGCTGCTGTCAAAGTGCGCGCGCGTGTGTGTGTGTGTGTGTGTGCGTGCGTGTGTGTGTGTGTGTGTTCGCGTGCGTGCGTGTGTGTGCGCGTACGTGCGTGCGTGCGTGTGTGTTAATAGGATTTCTCTCAGCAACTGCAGGCAAACCGAGAGATAAACAGCAAATCGCGATTGATGAAGCCAGATATTAGTCATAAATACTCGGACACATGACCCCATATATATATAATATATATATATATGTGTATATATATATATATATGTATATATATATATATATATATATATACCTATGAATGATGATATCGCTGCAGCATGCTTCTGCGCCGGACGTCAAAAATTGTTCCAA